GCTGGCTGGGGAATTCTGGGAGTTGAAGTCCACACATCTTAAAGGGGCCAAGGTTGAAAAACACTATGTTAGCAGCATACAACTCTGCAAGGAGGATCCATGGTGAGCGTCCTCAAGTGTGTCAAGGGGTTGATCTAAATAAACCAAAACTCTCCTGCTGGTTTGTTAGTGAATTCATTAAGGCTGAGAGCTGTTTGAACCTCTTTTCCCCAGATTAAGACAGAAAGGCTAACCGTCCTGTTCCAAATATTTCAATATCCGCACCTTTCTGGATTCTTTTCAGAAAAAAACAGGAAGAAAAAGTGGGGTTTTTTCCCCTCCAGTTGTTGTACCATTTCCAGAATGTACCTATGTTAAGTCCTGCGTGAAATGTTGAGGTCTGTGCTGGGCTCGCTTGGGAGGGACCAGCTCCAGACCAGCCCCTTCAAGCTGCTTCACCGTGGTCTCTGCAGCCAAACAGACCTTAGCGTGATCTCCCTCCAGAACGCGACCGGGTTACATCTCAGCTAATCCTGCTTAGACATAGGACTCACGGTGACTTGAAGGCCTCAGGTGACTTTGAGGTCACGGTGGAGCCAGGATTAAAATAATCCCCTTTGAGGAGTTTCCTCCCGGAGAGCGTCCAGGTGCGTCACCGAGATGAGCAAAGGTTGGAGCAAAGGTCCTTAGGTCTCCAGCTCCCGTTTCTCCAGGCACATTGTCTGGTTTGAGGAACACGTTGGAGCACTAATGCAAGGTGTCACGAGGCCCAGGGATTTCCAAGCCTGATCCTCTCTGACACCCCCAAACAATGTTGTCTTAACACGCAACGTCTTTTCTCCGCGGTAGAGCTTCGAGGACGGCCAAGGCATTTTTAAATATCGATGGACGGGAAGTGTTTTTATGCTGTTCCTCCTTAGGGTTTTTAAATGAAAATGAAAACAATTCATCTGAAAAAAAGAATCCAAAAGATGTGGGGGAATGAGAAAAGCCCTCCCAAATATCAAAAATGTATGTTTTTAAAACATTTCAAATTAGAGGTTGGAGTATCAGGAGGAGGTGGTTAGGATTAAAGAGCAGTTGTGCATCGGTTCCTCCCCAAATGCACTTGCAGTCTGCTCTGTGTTGGGACATGGGTGAGCTTGGAGACTGCGCTGAGCTCTTCAAAGGCCCAGCTTCCTCTCTTCCTGTCTGTTGAAAAGTGACACCAGATGTTGTTCAACTCCAATCCAAATCCAGCAGTCACAGCCAGATACTCGACAGAGTGTAGATGAATTGTTCTGCCACGCACCAATGTAAAACAGGTAGTCCCCACATAACGACCACACTAGGGACCGGAAAATTTGTTGTTAAGTGGGGTGGTTGTTAAGCGAGTTGCACCCGATTTTACAACCATTTTCGCAGCGGTCATTAAGCGAATCACTGTGGCCGTTATGCGAATCAGGCAGTTATTGCCAAGTGCCTGGATTGCAATCACATAACCACAGGTACTATAATGGTTGTAAGTGCGAGGACTGATTATAAGTCCCTTTGTTCAGCACCGTTGTAACTTTGAATGGTTGCTAAACGAATGCTTTAGTGGGGACTACCTGTAATGCATCTGTAAATATAAAAAGATATCACCTTGGCATCAATCCACAGGATACCTGTACTGTATCTCTTTGGTTGATGCCAAGGAGAAAACCCTCCAGAGCTTCCATTTATCCAATGGTGTGCCAATGTTCTGCCTTTCCCACTGTGCCAGATTTTCTGCAGGAATGAAAAAGTCAGAAAACATCACCATAGGGGAGAATTTTGTTTGGATTCCTGGTGAAATTCCATCAGAGAGGCGGAGTGCCTGCATTAGAATAATCTCATTGCCCCCCTGTGATGGAATGGAATTATGAAGGCCAGGCTCAGGGAGATAAGCATTTTCTTACTCACCGCAGGAACGTGGGAACTACAAGAGGATGAGACTGGCACCTCCCTGAGAAATTCACGGTGTTGTGGCTGGCTGGCTTGGGAGCTGGGGTTCAGTCTGGGAAGAT